TGATGAATATATTGAATAGTATCGGTGAATCAGATATAAAGTTTCATTGTAAGATATAAACATGTATACATACATATATATATATACATATATATAAAATTCCCAACTTGCAGGTCCTATTTTCAATCCCACATATTCAGCTCCTGATCTGTATATAACTGGCTCATCCCCTGCATTCATCATTTGTTAACCCTTTCTGGAAGGTTAACCTGCATGTGGAACCTCAATATAAAGTGTGAATGAAAATGTTGAGTCTTGAAGAATCTCTGCTGAGGAAAACTTCTTCTCCTAGGTGTTAAATTCAAGCCAATTTTCTTGTAAGCTTGTAGAGCGAGAATCTGGGATTGTAGGGGCTCATCTCTGTTTTGGATTATGAAAAATGCACAGTCTTGATGTTTACGTGTATAAAAGCTACAAATACTTTTTAAAGTCAGCAATTCTAAGGAAGAAATTACTTCAAACACCTCTCATGATCAATAAACATGAACCTCTTCTTTTTATTGTTGAAATTATTAAATGCACTTGAAGTGTTGGAGTATAACACAAAATCCTATAAAAATGGACACAGTTTCTTCTTCCTCAGCTGCAATTTATTCCATTTGACAAACTCGTGCTAATACAGGAGAGAATGTTGGGGAGCAAGGGAAGATTCTTTTTTTTTTTTTTTGTAAGCGCAGAGATGAATATACTTCATTACTAAAATAATTTGCACAATAATAGAAATACGTAAGTGCACTGCAGACTCTCTGGAGTAAAGCTTTCCTTCTCTCTTTGCTTCCCTGCAAACTCTGACAGTCTGCTCATTAACAGTGAATTGGATTTACATGCCATTTCAAGAGAAGAAGAAAGCACTGGTGTATATACTGTATAATAAGCACTTAGATTTTTGGTTTAATGTAGATGGGAGGGAGCGTTAACATTTTTAAGGCTTTCCAGGGTGAATTAAGTTTTGATGACCTGCTTCATTTCTGACAATAGTCCCCAGCTTTAGACCTGTAAATTTGAGTTTGATTAACAGGACTGCATGCATCCTGCTGCAGCAGTCTGGCTTTTGCTGATTTTGGTGACCATGCAGGCAGGAAATAATCTACCAATAATTCAGGTAAAGCACCTTTTTCATGGGTGGGTTTTTGTTGGTTTTGGTTTTGTTTTGTTTTGTTTTGTTTCTTTGCAAACTCAGCATCATTATGAACCGAAGGATTTGGCTCTGGGAAAGTGTTATGCAGCCCCCTTGTTAAAATGATGCCCTAGAACATGCCTTGTGTCCTCTTGGAGGGGAGAGGGCTGTGCCAGTCTGAAAAAAAAGGCAGGAAAATTTAATGCATTCTTTTTCCAGAGCAGTTGTTACACATCTGCCTTTCGAGTGCCACACATTAAGTTGGTTGAAATTGAAAGCTCAGATAGGAGCCTCTCTCTCAAAACATTTCTCAGGAATATTTTTCATTAGCTCATATCATTACGTGCACAATCCCTTCTTCACCCTCACCCCTGTCATGGTTTCATACATGAGGGAGGTGAGGGAGTTTATCTGAATTGAAATCTATGCAAAGATATCTTTAAAAGTCTAACAGAGGGTGCTCTTCTCTCAGAAGCTGTGATGGGGAAGCACATGCAGAATGACTAAGGCAGCCAATTAATATGTTATATAAACAGCAAGCACCACTAGAAAAAGGAGAGAGAGAAAGAAAAATGAGAGATTTGGGGTGGGGGAGGAAGGGGGGAAGGGAGGTTGTAAGTATAAAGTGTTTGCCTTAGGACTTGTCTTCAGTTATAGAGCCAGACTCACATGACTGGAGCTGGGTTTGATGTGGTAATGAAGCATTGATCACAGGAAAAAGATGAAATGGCCTTTGCTCATTCATTATTTTTATCTTCTAGCTGTGGAAGACAGAAAATTGTTCATAGGAATGGTTTCGAAGAAGTGTAATGAGAATGATATCAGGGTGATGTTTTCTCCGTTCGGCCAGATAGAAGAATGCCGAATCCTTCGGGGACCGGATGGGCTGAGCAGAGGTGAGTGTGCAGTCTGTAAAGTCTCTTTCCTTAAGTGCTAATTGGGAGCTACATGTCACAGCCAGGGTAGGCATAGCCACTGTCTGCAGCTAGAGGTTACGCTGTAATACGTCCCACGTGATGAAGGTATCCACATGAACTTTTCACAGTGACTGAAATTATCACCTTTTATTTCCAGTGTCAGAAAGGTCTCGGTGCCAACATATTAACTTGTGTTATTGCCCTGTTTGTCAGCTGGAAAGGTTCCTTTGCACCCTGAGAAAACACCCTCAGTTTTCTGCTCTCTTAAAATCAAAGATTCTTCCCTGACCCCATTTCTGCTTTGTAACATAAGGCCATGAAAAAAAAATAGGACTGTAAATGACTGCTTGAAGGCATACAGGGTCATGGGAACTGGCCCACGCTGTAGCGTTATCTCCTCCGTTCCTGTGTTTTCTATAACTGTATGCAAAACATATGTCTGCTGTAACTCAGAAACAAAGGTTAGCTTGAACCTGAGAGCTTTGCCTGGACAAAACTTTGTAAAAAAGAGCTTTCAAAGCTTGTGCCTCTATCCCAACCCCAAGACCAGGGCAGAGGCGTTAAGCAGCATCACCGAGCGTGGTCAAGCGGCTGACCTGACCTTTGGCAATGAAGTGCAGCATAGACTTCAATAGACCTGTGATCCATTTTGAATGAAAAAGTGCCTTTTGGGGAAAGGCCATCTGAAAACATACTGAAAAGAGAAATAGATGTATATTGATGACCCAGGCTGCATATTAACTCCATGGTATATGGACCTGAAATTATTCTCAGAGCATGAACCTTCTCAAAAAGTCAGTGCCAGGTGGTGCTGAGTGGAAAAGAAAATAGTGATAGTCCCATCAGTCAGTGGGGAGGGATGCTGTGGTACCAGCCATGGCCATTTAACAGCACAGGGAGTAAAGTAATTTTAAGTGTGGAGCTGTGAAAACATCACTCTGTTTCTATAGGAAAAAAAAATACATAGAAAGCACAGTTTATGCATTTTATTACATTTTCAAAAGGCACTGAAAAAGTAATAGTACCCATTTTGCATAGAGATACAGGTATAGGAATTGTTCTTTACTTTTGGATCTACTTGTTTCCAGGAAGCTGTAGGAACCTCAGTATTTTGCGCAACAATTTATGTGTGGGATTTTTGTTTTGTGTGCACCCCAGCTTCTTTAAAATGCCTATAAACTTCAGCAGGGGAAGTTGCAGGTATTCCTATGTTTTGTGGAGTGGCTTGAAAGCACTTGCTCTACTACTTCTGAATAATAAGGACTTGTCGAAAAGACACTCCGACAATAAATAAGAAGCCCCAAGCAAATTACACACTTACAGTTATGCATGCTTAGTCTGGGATCCCAAAACTTCTGGGGCTGGGATGTGGCAATCCCTTCGGGCAAGGAGAGCCTCAGGATCTTGGCTTTTGCCTTGGGGAAGACTGAGGGAAAGGTCTGAGGTTGGTGCCTGTAGCTCAGTAATGAATGTTAACTGATGGAGTCGAGCACTGCCATTATCTGTCTAGACCCAACATTGAGGCAAAACAAATATTTCTGATTTTCACTGAGTACATTTTGTAAGTAGCACAGGGAAGGGATGATGGAAGATACAAGTGGGAAAGGAGCTAAGTGACTGCTGAAATAATAAGATCTGGGCATCAGATGTTCAGAGCCCCAAAAAGGTTTAACTGACTCCTAAGCATCACCCAGCAAAGAAATGGGATCCATAGAAATCCCACTGTGTACTTGCTTTTATTCAACAGACATTGGGCGTAGCACGAGTATAGAAAAGCTAATCAGGAAATCCAACAGGGTAAGTAAGTGTGGTGGGGTAGTTTTGTTCTGCAGTAAATAGCAATCTCACAATAATCAGAAGATGAGATTTTTAAGCCATGTCACCGACGTATCAGGCAGGGCGGTGCTGTCTGCTGGCCAGCAGAGCCGTAGAGCTAATGTGCTGCTCTCTCCTGCCAGAGGCTGAAGATCTCAGTCCAGGTAGGTCACACACCAGTAGTTGTAGCAGAGCTGTATCCTCTCTGCCACTGGGGTTTATTTCGGTCACAATCATGACTGATATTCTCTCATGCCCTCATGCATCATGCCTTGTTAAACTTGAATTGCTTTCTACACACCCATGTTCACACTTGAAAATGAGTTCAGCTGTGCCAACCAGGTTTTCAGGCAGATGTTTATCAGCTTCACAGAACCACCTCTCCATGAGAGAAGCCAACGCGTTGGGAAAATGGCTGGTATTGCAGTTGAAATGAAAAGTGCTAAGGGAGATTTGCAGTGGAGGGAGCTCGGCTGCAAAAGCACAGGGTGAAAAGCTGCTTCGCTAAACCAAGAGGGAGAATTTATACAGTTCAATCGTTGTAACAAGTTCCAATACTTAATGAGTTTTAATTCACGTTACCGTCTCCAAGATGAGTTCCCTTTGCCACAAACAGTATTTGTTTTCCCAGCACCCATCCAGATGTGCTTCCCTCCCAGACACAGAGGGGTGAATGAAAAATAGTCACTGTCTTAGGAAAACACCGTCCTCACCATGCCAGAGCTTTCGGGAACTCATGGTGCTCACAGCAGTGAGATGGAAATATGGCCCACTAAACCCTGTTTGGCATCTCTTTTCAATTGCATAACGAGTGCACATCATGGTATCTCGGATGAGAAGAGCTTGAAAAGTATATTCATTGGTATTTATGCCAACTTTCGAGCTTTGTTAAAGGTTCAAGCACATAGTCTTTATTGCCAGCAGATAGCTGCAAGGGATAGCACCGCTGCTCAGTAGAATAGTTTTGGTTTGTGCTGCTTTTTTTTTTTTTTCCTAAATAAGGAGTAAAAAGCTTTCAGCTGACTTGTAGACCATGTCTACACTACAACAGCAACCTTCCCACTAGTACGATAACGATCTGCCATCAACCCGTAGGCGGGATGTAGGGTTGCGGAGTACGACGTGGCTCCAGCAGCAAGGAGAAATCCCGTCCTGTGGTATCAAGGGAAAATGTAACACTTTGTGATGAGTGTGATATAAGTGCTAAGATAAAGAGAGAGCGGAAGAGAGATTGAGCTGGTTGTTTCTATTGTAGTTTCTAGTCAAGAGTTGACAGAACTTTAATAAAGTCACACCCATTGTTGTCACTACTGATAATGGACCGTCAGCATTTCCACTCCAAATTCCTACTGTCAGCTGTTTGAAATTCATCTGTAAACCAAGACTAAAATAATGATACAGAGCTCCAGTGGCAGAACAGTGGATTTTAAAGAAACTGAGATTTCTGTCCTTGAGTCATTTTTTTCCCCACTGTTGTTCAGTCCTGCATCTAAGAAATAATTGTTGTTTATATCTGTAACTTGTTATATTCCGGCCAGCTACAAGAAATAGTCAGCAACCAAAAAGCATTGCCTTCCAAAGGCTCTGGGATAGTCCCTGTGAAATTAGTTGGCTGTCAGAGAGGAATTCCTAGCTGTGAAAAGTATTAAAAAATAAAAATACCCCGTTGGCTGTAGAGATAAAGAAACCAGGGACTCAACAGACATGGAGGCTGGCCTTCGCTTTAGCAGGGTTCATGGGACTATCTAAAGAAGCTTGCCACTGCCTGCACTATATTCATTATTCAAAGAGAAAGATTCAGCCTGCAGGGTGGTTTAATCCAGCACTTTTTCTGAAGAGCTAAGTATGCTTTACAAAAATTCATGATTGTGATATCATGTGCTAAGCTTCATTATCATGAAAAAGCAGAAGTGAACTGCCTCAGATGATTAAGATTTTAAATCACTTATTGTAAACGGCTTAAGGAAACTTTCGGACCTCCTGATTCCTTGCACTGTGCAGTGTCTACTTGACCACAGATGCCAACACAGACAGCCATGCAATGATAGCTGGAGTGTGCAAAAACAGCCAGAAATACCCAAGTTTGATTTGTAGCTGTGCCACTGATGTGCTGTACTGACCGTAGGTGAGTTGGTCTCTCATCATCTCTCTGTTATCCCGTTCCTTAAAATAAGGATAGCGATGCTCCTCTACCTTTGTAAAATGCTTTTTTTTTACATCACTGGATCAATATCTCTGTATCACCCTAGGAATTATTACCATCAGTAATGATGATTTTAAAAATCCTCTTATCACAGGAGCACCACACAGCAAATTATTCTGCTGTATTGCTAAGTGCAGATTTATATAACAGATACCAGAAAGAAGCCAACTGGGTTGATAGCATGCACTGAAAAAAACTTCTAATAGCATATACGGACAGTTGGATATACCATGAAAATTGTGGAAAAGCTCCAGATGCCTATTCCTACATCTTCTAGGCTCCTAACTGTATGATTTTTTTAACAAAACATCACCAGGTACATGGGACAAGTGAACATTTCTGCAGACATTGATTACAGACTTTTTTTTTTCTTTGTTTTCTTTAAGAGCAGATTAGAAGTGGCATGGACACTTAAACCATGGCCAGGCAATTTAATTTCGTGAAAATCCATTCATAACTTTCAGACTCAGGAGTTTTTTTGATGACCGAGTAAAAGAAAATTAGTATTTGCATCAGAATTAATCACAGTGAAGGGTAGGAGAGGAGGTCTTATGCCTGTTTGTTTTTCTTTATGGATATTTACTTCTCCTTTCTGAGCTAAAGTAACATGAAGTACCAGCCACGGGAAAAGCCTGGATTTGGGGACACCTCCTGACTTGTGTATCAGTAAGTGATGGGAAATGAGAACAGTGGAAGTGCTGTATTTTTAATTGCTCTTCAGAAGCACTTCCATGTCTTGTTTCTTTTGCTGTAATGTGGTGACTTTTTAATTTTTTCCAATCATTATGGCACATTTAATTTTCTTTTTCCCCTGCCAAAACTCTTTTGAAGCTGGGAAGGAATAAACACATCCAAGTGACCAGTGTCTCTGCTGGCCTTTGGCCAATAACTACATCTCAGATTTCCATTACTGCAGCTTTGCAGCAATTGCTCCCCAGAGGGAAGTCTGAAATGAAATAAT